TAGCCCTCATGAAAGGAATTTGTGCCCTTATAAGAGTCACAAGAGAGCTTGCTTCCACTCTGCTGCCTGCCATGTGAGGACACAGAGAGAAGATGACCATCTGCCAACCACGAAGGGGGTTCTCACCAGATGCCATGATCCTGGACTTCCCAGACTCCAGGATTGCGAGAACAAATGTTTGTTAAGTGACCCAATCTAGGGTTATTTGTTATTATAGCCCAAATGGACACCTAGTAACTTCGCAAGAACATGAGCACCGAACACAACATATTTTGTTATAGAATATACACACTTGGGTTATCATTTACATATGATCTAATTTCTTTAGAATTTTATTGCTCTGTTGGAGGTTATCTGGGCATGACATCTGATCTAGAATTTGAGAAGCTTATAATTTACTGCTATTGCTGAAAAGGAAAAAAATGTGAGATGCCAGATTCTTAAAGAATAGAATTAACTGTAGTGGTTGCGGCCTTGGTAGCATAAGCCTGGATGCCAGAGGCAGAGATAAGTGACATGTTCTTGACATGTGGGCTTCTAAGTTAAGAGTCACTTCTCTCTTAGTCTCAACTTCCTCATCTACAAAATATAGGCGTTAGACTTGGGATCTCAAATGTGTTTCATTTCTAAAACTCTGATCCTATGAACAATGTTTTATATTTATAAAGCAAGCTTAAATTAGCTTTGATATATTATCGAAGATATAAATTTTAAAAATTCTATTGGAGGAAGGCTTTTCATGGAAACATCAGTGATCTTTTTATCTCCCATCTCCACTCCCGAGAAGAAATCACTCTTAATGATTTCTCCTGCTGGTAACTTCCATATTATGAAGGGGGAGGGATGCTTATGCCTTTTCGCTGATTAATCAAGTTTAGATGATGAATATTTTGCTTATACCTCCCATTGTCCTTAAATCACTATAGTGATGTCATTACTTTCTTGCTTACCTGTAAACATTTATGCCTTTGTTTTTTGTTTTATTTCCCACTGCGTGTGTCCTGATTTTCCCCTTTGTGAGATGAGAATATTCATCTCTCTACCCTTTATTTGATCTATCTTCCCCTTTCTCTCTCTCATCTTCTATTATTTATATTTAAATTTTACTGTTATACATGTATACAAGTATAACCAACTTTACTTTAACCAATTTTAAACTTATTTTGTGTTTGATTCCAATAGTTGAAATGGATTCCAACCCTAATGGTAGCTTCTGTAGCTCTATCCACAAGTTCATTTAAGGTATGTAGTGTGTGTGTTTGTTATCTATCTCTCTCTCTATCATCTATCATCTACCTATAGATATATCTATATATACATATAGATATATGTATTAATACATATACAACACTATCTCAAAACACTTTCAGTCAATGCTTTGCTGGTAAACTTTCTCTGCAGGGGGAAAACAAGCCCTAATTAGTAAAGTTTGCTGACATATGAGGTATAAATACTCCCAACATGACCAATTTCAAGGTATTAATGATTTAACAATTGGCTCCGCCGGCAGAAGCGGGCTCCAATGTAGCACTGCTTTAGTCTCATTAGAACAAAACTGAGTAAACTTGGATTGTCTGATATTGCTTTTATTCTTAACTTGTCATTGCTTTCATTTTCAATCTGCTTTAATCACCATGAACAGGACAAGAATGGAAGACAAATGATACTGGTTTTATTTAGGAATAGAAGGAACTATTTTACCATTTATGGTGCTTAAAGATTTTGCACAAGTTAGAGATAGATTGCTAGGAACTGGAAGAAACTTTACTTCTCCACATCTATTCTATATATGATTTTCTCATAAATTTTATATGTCAACATAGACATTATAGGAATCAAATTTTAATTAAAGAAAATAAATGAGCAACCACATTTAGTGCACAGCACAGAAAGGTCACAAGTTTAAATCAGTTGACCAACACTTCAGTGCATTGTCTCCGCCTTAGAACTATAAAGGGCTTCCTGTCCCTTTAACTCAGAGGCAAATAAGCTGATCATGGCAGCTTTAGCTTCCATTATATCTATCTTAAATGTGACTACTTTATCCTTCAAATGGGTAAGCTCTCTCCAAATACTGAAATATGTCACTTCTTAACTGACCGACCCTCGGTTGTATAAAAAAGCATTCATCATATAGCACAAATGATCCACAAACAATTCATATCTTTTGTAGACCTCATTAAACACATTTTTCTAACTTCCTAAGTCAGGGGTTGAAAGTATACTGAGTAATACACGAATAGCATAATACTCAAGCAAAGAAGCAAAAATTTTAAATATGCTTTTTTAGGTTTTTAAAAAGCCTAGGAATCTTTTTTAAAAATGAACAGTAAAATGACATAAATAGGTCTTAATTTATCATCATAATTATTAGCATCCAATTAAGATATATATTTGTGTTACTAGTTTTTATTCAAATTAAACTATTAAACTAGTAATACGATGACAGCTCTGATGGCTATTGCAGAAAGAGTTCCAAAATTCCTTTGAAGGGTGGACCAGGCGCTGGTGTCAGTGCATAGCTTCCCAAGGGGAGTACTTTGAAGGTGACTGTAATGATATTCAGCAGTGAGGTATGTAGCACTTTTTCTAGGATGAGTTCGCCAACTTAATTTTTTTTAATGTTTTTTTAAAAAACAAAAATATTCTTAAGAAGTCATCCATAACTTTCCTACCCAGTAATATTTTTAACCCTTTTAGTTAATTTCTAACCAGTATCTTTCTAACCAGATTATCTTTGCCTGTTTTATTGTTTGTTTGTTTTTTAATTTCTTTTGCCCTTTAAAGAGTTCACTTGTCAGGGCTGGCCCAATGGCTTAGTTGGTTAAGAGCTTGCTTAAGAGTGTGAGTTCTAAGCAACAGTGGTTCGATTCCTGGCCAGAGCTGAGCTGCTGCTGAGCTGCCAAAAAAAAAAAAAAAAGCTCATTTGTCATCAGTTTAATAATCTCCACCAAAATTGAACTATTTACTTATATTTGATATTATTAGTCAGGACAGGGCAGTTTATGCTGGGTGCTCACAATAACAGGCTTATTTCTTGTTCCCACTATGGTCCTTTGTGTACTGTCATAGGGGTCTACTCATTATGGTCCTTCAAGGACTCAGATTGATGGGGCAACCACACCATGTAGTCATGCTTCAAAAAAAGAAAGCTTGGGACGTTCTTACAAGCTTCACTTCTGCTTAACACTCCTTACCAGAACCAGTGACATAGCTGAACCAAATCACAAGGGAAGAACAGGTAGGAAAAGCAGTCCTACTATGCACAGGGTCGGCAGAGCTGCAGCTGCCTGGTGAACAGGATTCATAACTCCACGGCTTTTGCTGTGGCTAGAAAAAAATAAGACTCAGCCCATGCAAAGAGTCAGCTGCCCATTTAAATACAGTCAGATAGTTAACTAAAAAGGTTTTGTTCCAGGGGTTAATCAATGCAAATAAATGAAGAGCATGAAATTACCAAATTATTTATTATCTATTTGTGGTTAAGGTTTTCCTCTTTACGTACTGTGCTAAAAATACTAAACCTTTGAGTGAAGTTCATTTACAGTCTCTGGGGGGGGTAATAATCAAGAAACTTTGATATTGTTGACACTCAAATCATTTCCTTTTTCTAAATGTTGTTAAACTGAGCTGAGATAATGCTCAAATTAAAGCCCAGTAAACTCCTTTGCTGTATATGCTAGAAATGTTAAAGTGGATGAAAGGTGGGAGCTGAAAAAAGGTAAAAACAGAATTAGATGGCAATCACTTTGTGTGTGTGTATATACACACTACATATCTATATATGTGTGTATACATATACATATATATATATTTAAGTGACAGTGTTAATGAATCACTTAAGAAAGTTGATTAATCCATATGTATGCTAGGACAATTTAATTTCATCTTAGTAGGCAAATAATAGAACATTTTCTATAGGGTGAAAAAAACCCAGCAGAATAGAGGTGATGTAACCGTATCTTTTACCTTTACCCTAAGCTATCGAAGGGCTATGCAGTCTATACAAACAAGGATGTATGTGAAGAAAACCACCAACTACTGTCTATCATAAAGTTAGATAATGATTACCTTTTCCAAGGTTCCCTTCCCAAGTAACTTTCTTGCTTTTACCAAGTTTTAGTGAATCATTTCCAAGTTCAATTTATGATTGGCTCACAATTCTCTTTACAAACTGTGCTACTTCACTAGTTTTCTACCTGTCTCCCCTACAAGTCCAGTGATCACTGATATCAAAACATCACCAAAGAGGTGAGTTCCCAGTGCACATCATCACCAGGGACAAAACTGTAATTTTAACTTTTCAAAAGAATGGACAACACATCTGCAGCACTTAGATTACATTATATTCAAATCTAGAACTTTAAAAATGTATTTCCAAAGCTAATTCCATTTCTTTCTACATTAGATATATAGAAAACTTATTTCCATCAAGAAGATCCTGAGTTAAAGAGAAAATGCCTTTTAAAAAATTTGTGGGTTGTTTTTGTCACCCTAACTTACAATTTTCTGGGGAGTGACAGGCCATGAATTCTTTCAATTTCATTTTTCTGGTGGTACGTGGCTGCCTAACATTAATAGATAGCAAACACGCAAAACAGGCATTCCATTTGATAACAGTATACTGAAAGTTTAAATCTGACTACTTCCCCTCATTCTAAGTCATCATATCAGATTTCAGCAAGTCGACATACCTCATGGGAACCCCCGAAAGTAAGGTTTTCCCTTCTGCTCTGTGAGTGAAGCCGTAGGATTATTTCCTTATTAGCTTTCAGGCTACCATTAGTAGCTGCTAATTCCAGCTTTCAAGTTCTCATTTGTGGAGAATCTGACTTGGTGGGATAGAAGAGAAGGCTCCCCAGACAATTATGATACATAGCAAGGTCTGAGAACAAGTGCCCTAATAGCATTCTCAAAACTACAGCTTTCTAGTCCTAAATTATACAGGACATTAAATATTAAGCTGAGTGTAGAAAAAAATAGAGCAGATATACTAAAGCTTGAGGACAATATTGTTCACACGGTTTTATTACTGACTCCTGATGGTGAAGATAATGATTTTGAAGGAAAAGATGATGCTGAGAAAGCACACATACAACTCTGTATAGCTGTCAGATAGTAGACTCAGCATTTAGGAAAACAAGACCAAGCTACACGATAGATTAACTGACTCATTTCTAATTGCAATCACCGACCACGGCACACGAGATTAGTAAAACCACAGTACAATTCAAACTCCCTAAATCATCTTCAGAAAAAATTATTAATACTAAATATTAGTAGCTAAAAGGTCAGAGATTTTTGTGGCTGAAGAACCTTCACACGTTGAGAGCTCTAGCAGAGGAAAAAAACCAAAGAAAATCAACACAAGTGCTCATCAGAAAATTGCCCATATTTTCTAATAGGAGCAAAACAAAAAGCACCTTTATTATTAATAGCATTCCCTCTTCTTTAAGCTAGCAGGGAGCATTACGTAAAGTTGATAATCAGTGGGAAGAGACATATCACTGTAATGTACTGAAATTCAATCAGGACTAATCACGCTGCGCCTCATCTTTACTTTTTCTTTGGGTCTAAAAAACATGGGATACTTTAAGTATCTAACTCTAGATTATTTCTTTTGGCTTTAATAATTATATCACTATGGAAATAAATCTTCAAAGAACAAATTTCTTAAAACATGGAGTAGAAATCCAAATGACACTTAAAACTTAAACATTAAAACATATATACACACATATGCATTTTCAGAGGCAATATACTCGTACAACGCTTAAAACTAGGTAATAAAAAATTTCATATGTTCCAAGTAAAAGTGCGATGTCAGCATACATTTATTTTTGTGTTTATTTTACACAAAGAATTGAGAATGCAGCTCTGCAGTGATAGTGAGTAACCTTTCCAGCCTTTGCTTCTTTCTTCTTTAAATATAGATGCTGACAGAAAAGATGGATTAGATGCAGTCTACTTTTTCCTCAGTTGGCTGATCTTTTTGAGAATTATAAACCATGAAACTAAACTGAGTAAATGTTGGTAGTTTATTGCATGCAGCACCTGAGGCCAAGAAAAGAGAAAATTGTTTGGTTGGAGAATGCACATGTTTACAACCACATAGACATCGCCTGTTGTATACCTGAGGTCCACCTAAGGCACACGAAGGACACTGTCATCCTCCTTAGTATTGAGTAGTGACAGTCCAGGAGAGGGAAGAAAGGTAGTAGAGGGTAAGTCATCTCTTTGAACCTCATAGGCTGATTTTCTGCTCTATGCACATGCTGTTATTGCTACTATTATTTTACTGTGTTCATATCCTTTTCTTAACCAAAAAAAAAAATTTTTTTTTTCAGGCACATACTAAAGATTTTATTTCCCTAGCCACTCGCACATTCTAATCTTTCATCCATAATCCTCCCCTCCCCGTGCTCCCTGTTCTTTCCTGCTCCTTTATTCTCATAGAAAGTGAGGAGAGTTCTTTTCAAGATGCTCTCTGTCTAATCAAGTTCATCTTACTGAAGAGGTTTCCTGCTGCCCTACCTACCTGTGCGCAAGCACACGGAGGGTCCCCTTCCAATGCCATTACTTTAAATATAAGGGGCTAGAGTCATCTAAAATTATGTAATTATCATCTACAGATTTAAATTCATCTACAATTATATAATTATCATTTTACATCCTGTTAAATCCAACTTTGAGCCTTTTGAGGTTTATTTCTTAAGAGGGAATCAATGAAACTGACTTATTTTATATATAAAGCTTTTCCCTCCCATAACTTATATTGACTTTTGTATCTTAGTACTTAAAAAAGAATACGGAATTCTTCAAACAAGTTTTTCAAATACAGAACTGTGGGAAGTAAAAGATCAAAGAACAATAATAAGCAGTCTAACCTAATAAGTCATATCGATCAGTAAGCTGTATATCTTCCCCATCTGAAAACTCACTAATGAGAAACAGCAGTGGTTGATGTGGAAATGCTTTGAAACTGTGATAGGCTCATACAGAAATTAAATGAGCAAAGGACATGCCTCAAATGCAGCATAAAAATAACTCTGCTAACTTCTATGGTTTACTAATTAGTAATGCATTTTGTCCCTTGGAGCCCCAAGAAGATCTAAATGACTAAGACATTAAATAATGAATAGAAAAGAAGTAGGGAAGATAATTTATCCCTATCTACTTCTAATTAATAAAAGCATTTGACTAGATTAGCCCATCTCACCATGTGGTGGAGCTGAAGCTAACGTGTACTTAGGACAGAAGTCAAAGATAAGAACTAATAGCCATAGACTGCATCAAATCTATCAGCAGTCAACCATAGGAGAGTTTTAGGTATATTTTTAACACTTTGTGGGGCTTCATAGGTCATCAATTAACACTTACCCAATGTCAACTCAATATAGTCCCTATTTCCATATATAGGAATAAAATACATCATAATATTTTAAAGTGTATGTTTTTATCAACATTTGCAATGTTCACACAAATTCAAACTCCAAATAAAACTTACCATAACTTCCAGTCACATTGGCACATATAACAGCCCCAAAGAACTTTGGAAAGTACTTATGAATTCTTGAAATCACTTTTTGGCAAGCTATGGTTGGATTTTCTCCTGTTCTCATATATTCTACAGCTTGGTAGCTGATTAAAACAGAAGCAAAATTTTAGTATCACAGAATAAACTAACTCCAAATTTGGTTACTTTAAGTTAGAAATCTAAAACTATCAAAATTGTTATATCTGATAGAAAATGTAAGTGAACAGGAGTCCCTAATGCCATGTAAGCAAGTAAACCTTGATACAATGTCTATCGTTTCAACTAATGCACCCATTAGTTTCAGATAAGGACTATTATTTTTGTCTTTGGCTGAGTAACAACAGCCAGAAGTCATCATGTATAGAGGTTATATTTAAATAAGAAATGGGGCTACAATCAATAGGGAACATACTGGACATGTGCAAAACATCTAGTTGTCATGATTATCTTTCAGTAATCGTACACAGTGACTGCATTTCTTACTCTTATCATCAGTTACCAGTTCCTTTATTCGGTGGCTTTACATAAATTATTTAAATGGCTCATAAACATTTTCATCATTGAAGTAGTGAGAAATATCCTACTTCAAAGGACTATGATTACTTAATTTAAATTATTATATTACCAACACGAGTTGTTGGTAGAGTTGTAAACAGAATTTCTCAAAAGTTCTTGTACACACAAATTTGGAGTATATGGCAGAAATTATTTTATATTTTGATAGACAATATCTCCTCTAAAGATCTCTAAGAGTCACATACGGAAGAAGTCGCACCTTGGTAGAAAACGCATCAGTATGTCCCCATCCCCAGTGGCTGCAGCTGCTCCCGCAGTATCGTCAGCATAGGCCCCAGCTCCAGGTATCGGCGAATCTCCTATTCGACTGTGTGAGGACACAGCACAGTAATTTAAGACAGGAAATCAAGTGTAAAAACAATTATTTTATGATGTTTCAATAATAGGGAGTATTTCTAGTTAGCCACTGATTATCGTTTTAAGTATTTTCTCCTCAGAACACAGAGAAAATGGATTTCCTAAGTTATTCAACTTAGGTTTCCACAAACCTACATTAATTATATAAGAACAAGATACCAGCTGGTTATCTCTCAAGATGGCACAGATTTATAGCGACTATTATTACTGTGCTTGATCATCTAATTTCTGTATTATCTCAACAGGTTCATATAGGTGTTCCTCACCTACAATCTATTTCTGCTTTCTATCTATGTGCCAAAATTTTACCAAGGTTTATCCTTGTAATCAACTTCCAATGCTTTTCTACTGCTTTGAAATAAAATCCAGAAATCCTTCAACTGACTTAAGACCCCTGAAATCTGACTCCAGTATTCCATCCTGCACCCGACATACACTTATTTCTTTTCCAGCTGGGGAGAGCTCTGAACTCAGTGAGTACTACCTTGGATCTGCCAGAGCCTTGGCCTGGGTGTTCCCCCACCTTCCGCAGGCTCAGCTCCCTGCATCTCCCTGTTGGACTCCCTAACTCTCCCCAACGAATCATATCACCATATCACCACCGCCATCCCTGAAGGCTACAGCACCAGCCAGGACTCCTTCTCCTTTGGAACTCAGCAGGTACTAATCTATTTTCTTTCACATTTATTTATCTCAGCAAGGAAGGCAGGGCTGTGCTTTACATTTGCATCTCCCCAAGCCACACTCCCAGTTTACACTCAATACATATTTGTGAGATGTGTTCTTTTAGAAACACTAACCCAGGTATTTTGAATTTTATACCATTTGTCGATGTACCAGCAGCAGTGCGTCCCATATTATGGATTACAACCATGCCTAGAATTATAAAAAAAAAAAATCTTTATAAGTATCAATTCTAAAATTTACCTCAAAATATCCTCTTTTATTAATGACACGTAGAAGATGACAGAAAACTTGAGAATACTGAAAATTATAGCAGTGGTAGAATTTGTGCTCTTCAATGGCCTGGTTTCATAGCATCACTCGGTGTACATCCCATACTTTTCAAATTGCTCAGTTACTTTTCAATGTCATTTTTCAAAGGAAATTCCAAAGAAAATCACAAATACAGACTAATGGAAAATTTCAACATTACAGCTCAGCAAGATCACTGGAATGTGGCAAACGCCAAATTTTTAAAGAACTGAATATAAATATTTAAAAATCCACAAGTGAATAGTCATTACATTTTAGGGGTCTTATAATAAGGTAATTAACCAAAATGTATACAGATGGTTAGAAAAGAACATGTGTGTGTGTGTGTGTGTGTGTGTACATACACATATATATGTGGATATAACTTGCCAGTTAAAACAATCAAAATCGCCTTCTGGTACATAAATAGGGATGAAGAAGTTAAGAACTACAGAAAGGTAATTAAAAATGGCTGAACTTTAACCATGAAAACTATATAAAAGGCAAATTACCAATAGTATCATGACCGTAATTATCGCCTGTTTCTTTATAGGTAGAACCATCTTGCTTTAAGATACTCGGTGGTTTGTAAGGTCCACAGTATTTTGAAGCATCTGGTATAACATTCTGTAAATAAGATTTAAGTTTTATATTTTAGAAAGGGTGATTTTGGAAATCAGCACGTAGTTATGTACAATCACTAAACATTAGCAAGAAACCAAAAGGACATCTGGCGAAAGATAAGAATTAAAAGTCAAAGGTTAGCTAAGTCTTATGTGAATAGATGGATATAATTTTACTAAATACCTAGTCTGCTCCCAGAATTACATAATGTGGAATAGATAACTCCATCGTCTGAAAAAGATCCCTGGTTTTTCTTTTATATGCCTAAAATTCTCAGCATAATGGCAGATAGAAATGAAAATTTTTTGCTATATTTTAATCCTAGACAGAATTAGGTATGCAACATGACCTTTAAATTTCAGAATTTGTTCCCTGGCCAAAGAAGAATTATGCGATTTCAAGCAAAATCTATTTTACAATCTTTTTTTTTTTTTCCAAAGCTAGGTTCACATGAACATACTCTAAATTTTACTCTTAGATTCCTTTAAGAATCTTAAAGGCTCAGGATATAATCCAAATTCATAAATTTAGGTTGTATGTAGGGATTAGTACTAAAGCAGGAAACCTACTATTCATGTCTTATTCATGAGGGCACTAGGTGCCTCCCCTGACCTGATTTTACACAGTGGCCTCTTTCAAGTGCTAACCTCAGAGACTCCGTGGTAATTAGGATTTGAGGAAGAAACAGATGAGAGACTAAGAGAGTCTATGGAAAAACTCTGGAACAAAGACAAACTGATTGATGCTAAGGGTCCCATTGATTTACAGATAAAGTATCCCACTAGTGACATACTAGACACCTAATAGTATAAAAACTCCAGGCAAACAAGGGCAAGATACTCGGTACAAATTACATAGATAAAATCTAAGACATATTTTAGATTAATGGTTTCCAAACTTTGACTTTTTAGACTTGGGACCTTTTGTTTTAAGGAAATACAGAGCAGAGCGGTTCTGATTGAGGCAGCTCCCTCTCCCCACAGAACATTCGAGTTTGGAAACTACTGCCTGGGACTAGTTCTCCACCTGGGATATGCCCTGGATACAGCTCAGGAGCTTTTAAGGACACCCACGCCCAGAGAGCCAACTTAAATCGTTGGTTCTAAAGTGCAACCAGGGCGCTAACTAGCACCTTAGGCAATAGGTAGACCACAAAGAGTAGAAGGGATGTCATTTAATATTTTCAAATATTTTACTTTTTAAAATTATGTATACACACCCTCCAATAATTTGGCTGGCAATTCCGAGCAAGCCAGTCTGCATGAAGAGCTCGAGAAGTATTGGTAGATAAATCCTCATTGACAAACCCCATACTTTCGGCAAACTTGGTGGCTAGACGTTGGGAAGAAAAGAAAAATGGAAATCAGTTAAGTACTATCTTCTAAACAAAATATATGTACAGGAAGTGTTATAGTTCAGCTGTCTCTTAAGTGGGGTACAGTCATCCCAGGGTACACAAAGCAGTATTCAGACATGAACAGTTTTGAGGGCATCAGTTTCTAGATCTCAACTGTCCTTCCTGATCTGACTGAAATCCTTAGGCTGTGTTATGACAGTCTGTTCTCTTGTCTCCCTCCCCTCCGCAATCTCCCTTCTTCCGCTTTACCAAAGAAAAGGCATGCCTCTCACCAACTAAGAATCTTATTGCTCTAACTAGGATGAGTGCCCAGCATGTAAAAAGCTTTGGGACACCAGAGGGACAACTGGATTCCATAAACGGGTAAGAGATCCTTTGTCAGGTAGTTTTCAACTCTGTATTTCAACAAAATTGAGGACTGGAGTTGTTAGCTAAAAACATTGTTAAAAGTTATTTTTAATGTAGGTCACTGTATGATTTTTGGTATTAACATGAAAGACATTCAAGTGACACTGCCATAGCAAAACTCCTTCTGTTCCCACCTTCGTATGTTAACAATTCCCATGGATCTTACACCTATAAAACGTAATACAGGAAGAGAAATGATACTGAATCCTCTTTCAGTCCAGCGATTCCCCATCTACAGATAATACTCATTTTTTTAAATCCAATTTTAAAGATGGAGAAAGTAAGAATTTAGAAGAAATTTATCCAAAGTTAAACAAGTATTATGTAAAACAGCTAGAATTTGAACTTAAGTTGGCTTTTATCTACTATTTCAGTATAGTTAAAATATACCTGACTCTCCTGCTAAAAGTGTGTGTGTTGTATGTTCCAGTACTTTTCTTGCCACACCAATAGCATTTTTAATTCGTCTAAGATCTCCTACTGCTCCTACATTCATAGTAGTGCTGCAAGATAAAAAATAAAAAAAATGGAGTAAGCGTTAAGGTATTTTCATAGGTTCATAGATTTTAAAAATATTGATTTACTTCAAGCTATAGTGTTTTGCAGGATAAACACCAACTTAACATAGAAGTCACAGCACATCCATGACGTTCATACAAACTTCCACAATCAGACAATTTAAGGAACACATACAAAATCAATTTACCATATACTCCAACAGCACTAAAATTTATCTTAGTTTCTCCTGGCTGGCTTTAATATGGCTTCTGAAAGGGGTTTTAAAGCTTCAGGTCAGGCACCCTCGGCATTTGCGGATGGCCGGTGAATGACTGTTTACCAGGTCAGAGACATATTTTTGTAGTTTGTGGTGTTCTCCTGTGCTAAGGAGGCTACCCTCCTTCATGTGCTATTTCTATAATAATTATGATTTTCTTTTAATTGAGAGGGAAACTCCTTATGTTTGGAAAGCTTGGGGTTTTGGCCTGTAACAAACCTTACATAATCATCTATCTTGCTCTCTGTAGAAGACTAATCAACTATGAAGCGAAGGTGCAGAGATAAATCAGTCCTGGAGAGTGTTCCTACCCATCCATGATCATGGCATCCAGTGTGGTTTCTCCAAACTCATCGGGGCTTCCTCCAAAGCCGACAGTACCGTCACACTGCTCCCTCTCACACACAGCACAGCCCCTCTCCACAGCATCCAGGGGGGAACCTCCAGACGCTAATGTACTCCACGCTGTTAAACAAATCCCAACAGTGTTTGTTTATATACAGTTTTTTCAATGACAAATGCAACAAACCAGAAATGTTTTGAGAACTCATAGTTTTACATTATTTTTTTCACATTTACTCTAAGTTAAACTAAATTTTTAAATTAGTGTATCAAGTGCTACAAAGGAGTCAGCGATATACACAGTGATACAGACAAAATTATATAACAGCTATTTACTGTGAATTCAAAGACTTTGGCTATTGATGCAATGTGAGGTTTTTTATACTTATTAATAAGTATCTCTGCGGGGTGTGTGTGTGTGTGTAAATAAATAAGTATTCGCTCCTTCAATTTAAAGTTACAATGGAAACTGTTAAAAGACAGTTACATTAAAAACTCATTAAATCATAGCCTTATAAATTTATTCTGCATTAGATCATTAAAAATATATATAACTATTAATAATACTTTTATTGAGGTAACATCTATCACAGCAAATCTCAGTAATAATACCATTAACAGTAAATAATTACATGTGGGCTTCACATGGATTTATTCATTTAATCTTCACCACAGCTTTCCTGGCAAGTACTGTACAATTATTTTCCTCATTTTAAATAGGAGGAAACAGACTCAGAGAGGTTAAGTGACTTATTCAAGGTCACAAAGCTAGTAGGTAGAAGAGCCAGGATTCAAAAGTAGCCATTTTGGCTCCAGAGGCCATGCTTTTAGCACTCTATGTTCTGTGGAGTCCTGTACATTGACTAGGAAAAAGAAAAAAAGTCTTCAATGGTCAATTTCTGTACTAATAAAAAGAGAATCCCTTAAACGGCAGATGCTACTATTGGTAAATAATTTAAGTATTACTGCTGGCCATACTGGCTTGAAAGTGTATTTTGAAAAGCTATAGGCAACATACACAGAATTCTCCCCTGGCCGGGCTGCTGCACTTTCGTTTCTGTCTTATTATCACTGGGAATACCTTTCTCACATCCCATTTCCTCATTTTTTTCTGAATGTATGCACTGCTTAAAATATACAAACTAAGCTCCACCAAATTCTGGAGCCAAATGTGCCCCCAGAAAATTACATTAGCAGCCTTAGAAGGGATCTGAAATTACTCTTGGGGTATTATGTCTTGCGATGAATGAAACAAACACACAATATAATAAGAAAATTACAAGATAATTGCATATGTAGGTTAATAGCAATAAGATAGGCACCTAACTAAGATTGGACAGAGGGGCAGTACATCAGGGAAGGCTTCCTGGAAGAGGTAACACTTTAGCTTAGTGATTCTCAATCCTGGCTGCAAATCAAAGTCAATTGGGGAGGTTTAAAACAAAAACAAAAATAGATGCCTTGGTTCTAGCAGTTAATTCAAAATCTCAGGAGGTGGGGCACAGTCACTGATATTTTGGACAAGCTCCGCAGTCAAGACTGGAACCCCGCATTCCAGGTAGCAAATACAGCATATCAGCATGTAGGGAAGAAAATATGCTTTCTTTGGGAAGTTATTTGTCGTTTGCAAAGCTCGAGTACAGGGTGCTGTTGGGGAGAACTGAGGGATTAGAAAGGAGAAGTGGAGAGGTAGACAAGGGACCGCCAGTGAACAGAATGATGTCAGGCAAAACACAGCACGAGCGTCCCTGGAAGAGTCTAAAGCAAAAAAGCCCTCAGTGCTCTGGGTCAGCAGCAGGGTGGAGAACATATTGGCGCGGGGGTGAACAGAGGCGTGTCCCTAAATGATGAGGACCGAAAATGCAGTAGTGGCAAAGAGCACACAGTAAGGGTCAATTGCAAAAGATGCAGCGGCAGAGTAGGTGCGGAAAGGACTGGGAAGTGAGGCTGCGGAAGGCCTGGCCCGGTCTGGCGCTGGCCCGCGCTCCCGGTTCCCGTGACCTCAGTGGGGCCAGCCGGCCGGTTCTCCCCACTTTGCAGGCGCTCGCAGCGCAGTCCCCGCCCCCGGCCCCCGCCCGCACCTGCTTCGGTTGCATTCTTAAAAGGCCAAGTGTTGAGGACCAGGGGGAGGGGGCTGGAGCTGCGCGCGAGAGCTGGGCTGAGCAGGAGCTGTGTGAAGAGCACAAGGTTCGACATCTGCGCCATCGGGCCCCGAGGGTCCGCCTAGATCCTTCGGCGGCGGACGCTCCCGGACCTCGTGATCCTCGGCGCCCCGCCCTCCTGGCCCCACGCCCTCCCCTTCCGGGCGCGGCGGGCGGTTCGCAGCTCTCGCGATTCCCGGCTTCCTCCGGGACCACGGGAGTTGGTCACCCGGGACCTGGGGCTCCCTGCTAAGGAGGTGGTTTTTTTTTTAGGTACCACGAGGGTTTGTTGTTGCGTTTTTTTGTTTTGTTTTTTTTTTTTTTTTTCATTTACCCCGTTGTTAGAAGTAGAATGAGCGTCTTATCGGAAAATTAGTATGAAATTATGCAGCCCTGGGCTGCATGTCCCTAGGAACTTTTTGTTTTTAACTTATTTTACTTTTAATTCAAAGTTGAAATGTGCCACACTCAAAATGGACTCTCTGGGATTCCTGGCCTCAGAGGTCTGGGATGGGTGTTGAGTATAGGTGAAGCATGCTAACCTACAACCAGTTCATTTCAGATTCCTCCCCACCCAGCCTTTCAGTGGTTCTTCCGCCAGGGCGTTTTGTAGGACGTGGTCGCCTTTGTAAATCCCTGAGCTGAAAGACAAGGAGCAAGGCCGGGGAAGCAGAAATTAACCTACACGGCCCACAGAAGTGCAACTGCCTGCACTTCCAGGGCAAGAAGATACCTCTGTTCCTTTCTGGATGCGTTGTACCTTGTGCCTGGCACCATTACCGTTAAGTGCTAAATAAATGTTGGAATGTGTCAGTCTTTTTAAAGAACAAGGTAAGAGACTCAGCCAGCAAAATCAAGTTTATTTTCGGGAATAGAAGAGGACTTGCCTTAAGAACTAGTAAGTTGATGAACTATAGAGAAGTCTGGAGAACAAAGAAGCATTCTTTTATAGAGCAAAAGAGGAAGCTGGGGAGAAGTTCTGAACAAAAGTTCACTTGAGGAAAATGAGAGTTCAGAGCGGTGGCAGCTTCTCATTTGCTTCAGGCACTGAAGACTGGTTGCTGGGTGGAGAGGACATTTCCTTTCTTCCTGCCAGACTGTGCAAGGTGCAGAGTGGTACCTATGAGTACTTTCCCTTTGTGGCTTCCGGACGCCATTTTGAATGAGGTTTCCTTTATTCATTTTCACAGGTAAAAGGTGGAATGGAAACTTTGTATGCATGATAGAGAGAAACTTTTGGAGAGTTCGGCTGTCTGGGAAGATGGGCAAGCATGAACCAGGCATCCCTTTGGGGCTCTGGAATGCCTGCCTATGTTGCCCAGGGAAGACACATAAATAATTTTGAAGAGTACCTATAAATCTATCCAGACTTTTAAAATATTAACTTGGTAGGAGTTGAGAGGTATACAAAGCCTTCAAGGTTCTTATTGCTATGAAATTAAATATACAGTTTAAATAGCATAAGTTAGCCTAGAAGAATTATCCCAAGGCTGCGAAGTACTATTAAAAAATTAGGTGTAATTAAAGAGAAACGCTATAAATTTCTATGGAATTTTGGAGGAGGAACACGTCATTTATATGGGGTAATCAGGATACACTAATGCCAGGTGAAATTTAAAAGAAGTGTGAAATAGGGTAAGAAAGCAAGGAAAATGTACATTGTACTTTGAATTCACTTTCATTAGCACCTGAACTGAGCCCTAGCATTCTTTTTATTTTTTTAAAGATTTTTTTTTTAATTGGGGAATTGGGGGGATGGGAACAGTGCTGGGGAATTGGGGGAAGGGGAACAGACAAGTTGCTGTCATTTTGTTCTTCAGTCTAGTTGTGGAGGACGTTGCTTCACTGGCCCAAGTTGGCACCATCATTGCGCTCTTTCCGGGTGAGGCACATCAGTCGCCGGCTTCTGGACGGCCGCTCACAGCGGCTGCTGGCCGCTCACGCTGGCTGCTGGCTACACACGGTAGCCCATGGCAACCCACTGCCACAGGGACTGCAGCCTACGCCGTCGCCAGGGACTCACAGCAACCCAGCTCCAGGTTGAGCTGTTGTTCAGCATCTTAGCTGTGGAGGGCAGTGTCACTGGCCCTCATATGTGGGATCCAAACCGGGGCCCTCTGGCATCCCAAGCCAGTTCTTAACCATTGCGCCACTCGGCCAGCCCAGAGCCCTAGCATTCTTGATACAACCTCAGGAACCAGGACATCCTTCAGTAAAAAAAAAGTTGTGTAATACAGTACATGAAAAATTGGTCTCAGTGCCCACTGCTCTCTATAGCCTCTCCCTAATTCTTAAGGTATTTGTGTTTATTCTGGCTAAGGGAGTCTGAACTTTGTTGTCCTACTATTGACCTTAATAGATAGCTACAGTATTTCTCTAGCAAAATGGGTTTATTCAGAAACAATAAAAAATTGCAATTTTCAAGTCCAGAGAAACAAAGGAGAGGAACACTCTTTTATGGACTGGGAGGGGTTCTTGTAAATGAAGAGTCCATTGGAAGAAACTGAAGATTCTAAGTGTAGTGGCATCTCATTGGCTGAGTTATAGCAGGCGCCCATTGGCCGAGCTGGGCAAGGAGGAATCTTTTCTTCCTCCTGCTGAGGTAGAGAAGTAGTAGCACTTCCTGTCGGAGATGCAAGGTACATCTATCTCTTCCTGTTGGAATCAGTAGTGTTTGTGTTGGTGACACATGCATGAGAGTTCACTCTTGTAGCCTCCCAACTGTATTTTAAATGAGGTTTCTGTTTATTAATTTTCACTTTACTAAGTCCACTCTTTTCTCCAAAACTCCTCTCTCCTTACTTGAAATCAAAATTCCTATCAGAGAAGTTCAACTCAACTATTAGTTGGAGGAAAACAGCTAAATTATACTAGTTGGTAATGTCTAAGAAAATATCTCAATATGTCAGCATTTCCAAGGGTATTTGTATTTAAAATAATATGCCATCTCAAAGGAATCAAACGTATTTGGTGACTTTTTAGTATCTACATATTAAAATCCCCATTATTTAGTATCTCGCGTTAAAATACCCAGTGGGCCCACTATCCAGTTTGCCTAAACTTAAAGTCATCTTTGCAGCTGTCTTAAAGATGTTAAATTAGTCTGGAGATTTGAGTTCCTTATGAATTAATTTTTCTTTAACACTTGGAGAATAGTTGGAGTTTTAAGTCTAGAAGTCATCTCATGTTATTCTCAGGTTTTCTTTTGGGCCCACATGTAACTGGATCCCTATGCTTAATTTAGAGGTAAATCTAAATGAAAAGGGACATCTATCTGTTCATCAGCGAGGTAGAAGACCTTAAGAAAGTGGTCCAGAGTTTCCTCAGCATCCTCTCCAGTGTTCCACTATTTTACATCATTAATTATACATAACAGCAGAGCTTTGTAGCATTACTGATAAAAGAGTTAGTTATAAATTATTTTTATTTAAATTTGGAATGCATTAGACACTTGGGTAAAATGTTTATGTTCCTAAATAGAGCTTACTTCCAACTAGCAATGCTTCAGGAGGGTTCTCAAGGCCTGTATTTTATAATGTAAGGCAACAGTACATCAGCCATGGTTAACTCATGTCAACTTCCAAGCCACAATTTCCTCATCTGTAAGCTGGAGAAAATAAGTGTTCTTTGTTATCTTACAAAGTTTTGTAAATGAGATAGGACATGTGAGAGGATGGTAGAGTACTATGCAAATTAAATAAAATTACATTGTTTAATTGGAATTTACCAACCATCCATCAATGGATGTCAGAGAGGAGGCAGTCCAGGAGCATAAAGCAGCAAAAGGAAATCAATTTGAGATTCATCAATTTCCACAGAAATAATAAAGAGTTGGCCGGATACCTATAATGCATTTTAAAGTCAGCACTTAGAATTTCCTTGACTGTCTTAAATGGGTATTAAAAATAATGTTTTCTGTCTACTTTGAGCTGAGTAAAATTTGGTTTAAATGTTTATAAAGAAAGATGGCCCATGGCAGGAGAGTGAGATTTCTGAATGTCTTAAAAAGAGCATCCTGAAGTCTCACCAAGGAGATAGTCTCAAATAGAAGCTTAAATGATGTTACAAATAGGGCCTCCTGTGTGGGGTGAGGAGGGGGGTGCAGGAGGCTGCCGGCTCCCCTCCATTTTCTCTAAACTTCATGGCTTTCAATTTATCAGTCTCAGAAGGATGAAGAGTTGAGTCTCTCCTGATAGCATTTGAAGCTGTAGTTCCACAGAGGATTTAATGCCGTAGTTGCAGGGAGTCTAGGTATTTCAAATCTGAGGCTTAAAAAACTAAGCCATCCCCTCCAGCTTTTGCACTGATGCTGTGAAATCCATTTGAGAAACATGCCCATGTTTTGCTACTTGTTCAAAGCTGTAACCGTGACTTGGCATTGAAATAATTTCTTTTTCAAAAACTCCCCACTGAACTACTACAGGGGTTATCTAAATACAAGCTATTTATTTGATTGGCATTTGCTCGTCAGTTTCACAAACTGTTACTAATGACTGTTACTAATGTTAGAACATTTTGGTACTGTGTTTCTAATTCAAATCCATTTCTACATTAATTTGGGAACACTTGATGTTACTACCTGCTTGTACATTCTGGATATAATTAGAGTCATAGAGAAATAAGTGTTATTATTCTCTAAATGAGAAAAGAAAGTATTCTTTCTCTCTGGAATATTTTTTCTGGTTCATATTCCTGAACTTATTTGTCAAAACAATAGCAGATTCAAATCATAAACTTCTTTTTTGACTTTCTAATCTTTAAAAGTCATTTTGGTGACTTACAGGACCAAGGTTATATAGTAGAACATTGGCCTATTAAGTGATTTCTTTTAAAAACAAATTATATACAACATATCTTTGATTTGTGTTTTTAATACTGGGCTACTGCTATAATAAAGTAATCATAACAAGGATATAGATTATTTTACATGGTAAACCTACTTTTTATGACAATTGTTTATAACATTATGATGTCTTCGTGATTGTAATCATTACAATAATAAAGCCTAGGGCAATAGAACAAACTTCATATGTCTTCCTACCACTTCAAAAGTTACTTTGACATCATTAACTGGTGTCACAGATAATTTTAATGAAGAAATTTCACAATAAAAACAAAATTCTAAAATAAC